ATTCTGTGTATTGCAAAGTTATGGTGAGAAAGAATAAACTAGTTTTATTTAAGAAAGGACTTGTATCGCTGAAGAATTTCTACGGGAAATTAACAAACAAGCAGATACGCAACACTATTTTTTATCAAACCCAACTGTTTATTTTTACGTTTTGTAATGTATAGAGTTCCTCATTTTATTCATGTATAATATATACAGGATTACGAGCAGTTGTTTATGACGGGTAAGATGTTTATATACTGCTTCTAAATAAGCTCGGAAACATGGAATATTTTATTTTATTTTATCGATTCGTTTGTTTTAGCGCAAAGCTACCCAATAGGCTATCCGTGTTTTGTCCACCACGGGGAGTCAAAACCCAATGAGGGACTGTTTTATTGGTAGAATGTTTTTGTTTTATATTTTAGTTGTTGTTTTTTTCAAAAAAGCTTTAACTACATGATCATAATTTATCGGTTGTTAAGCATACTGCTGCCAAATAGGCCATCCGTATACGTCAAATGCACAAATCAAATCCCGAATCATAGCGTTATTAGCCCTCAAGCTTATCGCAGAGAGATTGGGGAAGGGAAGATGTCTATTGTAAAATATTGATGAAACCAGTATATATTTATGCACCCAATCCTGTCAAAATCCATCACTGTAGCTAAAATAAACGATGCCATAGCTATGATCAGTTCTCTTCCCGAATCTGTCTATTTGCTGATAACTAACGACCTGAAACAATCCCATAAGACTGCTGAAGAATATTTCTCAGAACTTGAAAACACGATAGCACATATCTTCAGCCTCAAACCACACATTAAACTGGCTATTTCTAGTGTAATATACAGACATGTGAACAGACACACTTCCACTGATTGAAACACACTCAACAACAAGATTCAAAATTTTAATGAATTAACCAAACACCCATGTAGACTTAACCCCTAACTTGCCTTCATAAACCACAGAAACCTAATACCACTCATTAATACTTAACCCTAACTTGCCTTCAACAACCACATAAACCTAATACCACTCAATAATACTTAACCCTAACTTGCCTTCAACAACCACATAAACCTAACACCACTCACTAATTTTCTTGCACAAATGGACTTCACCTCAACTTTTCTGGTATTTTTACCCTAACCTCAAACTTCACGTACTTTATTTCCCGAAGCATTATCCCACGCTTATCTTC